CAGTGGGGTGCATCCCTGACTCTGCTATGGGACACGAGGCCATGATACAGACCGATGAGTATATGTAAGGAGAGAAGGTGTGTTGTGTGAGAAACCAACAAGGAGAGCGTCAATGGCAACGCTGCAGTGGAATTATTTATGCGGGTGGCTGTCTCTGACAAGAGGGAAGACAGGTTGCGTTGGAGAGGGAAGAGGGGAATGGGCGCGGCTCTGGTCAGGTGATTCTCAGAGTCACATGCCCTACCAGGTGACATATGACGAGGTGCAGGTATGACACAGTGATGATGGGCGAAGAGAGAAGGCAGGCGCGAGATACTGAAGGTGCGTGGTATCATCAGCCAATCCTTTTGGTCCTTTCCGGAGTGACACCAGAGAGAGCCAAGACATTCTATCACGTGCTCACCATCCTTGCAAGAATAAACACCACGGAATGGACGGGTGGCTGGAAACTGATGGTCAGTCAGGACTGCTAAAGCTCAGCGAATTAGGCGCGAGTGCATGTCATGATGTCATTCGCAAACTCACCTATTTCTCCGTTATTCTGATAGGCCCGAGGCAAGCGCTGAAGTGACCAAGCCGTCGAGAGAGCGTGCACGCGGAACGGTAATTGCCTAGATACACCAACCTTGCACTGCGGTCAACCTCGATGGGAGATGTTCTGAAGTCAGGCCATATATACTAGACGAAGGCCGGAGAAGACAGCCGGCACATGATAACGGGAATCAAGACAGCCAGGAAAGACCAAAGGTACAGCGTGGTTACGTACAACGAGGTCTAGGATAACAGCGAGATTAGGATAATATTATGTTATCCGGTCGGGTTAACTATGATCTAAACTTAGTATAGTATAACTATTAGCGTGTAGGTGGTGTAGAACTAGAAACCTCTCTAAGCACGCACTTAGGCTATATACTAGATAGATTCGGGTTAGAGTAAAATTTTCTCTATTTATCTAAATAGATTTCTAATCCGTCTAGTAGAAGTATTAATCTAATTCTATAGAGTTTATTAGAAGATCTAGGTTTAGGACTAGTTAAGTATAGTAATTATAGATATTTTATAAGTGTGTATAACGTGCATGATAAGCGAGTGAAACAGACAAGCGAGTGAAACACCTCAACCCGACCACCTCGACATTTTTGACCTACACGCAACCACAACGCATAGAAATGTTTGTAACTACTTAAATTCCTCTTCTTCAGACGAAGTAATCACTACTTGACAGGTTCTAGAGTTGTGTCCGACGTTGCCGCAGACACCACACCGTCGCGCGCGCGTTTCGGACCGCTGGCTCGGACCACC